TTGTTATTTGCACGTAGACTAAAGCGACTTGTAGGAATGTGAGCTTTTATATACTCGCTTCCACTCGTAAGCACCATGCGGAATTGTTATTATTAATTGTTATTATTGCCTTGGAGTCTATTGAGCTATTTGAATCAGTTTTATAGTAAAACTTATCGTTTCCCTCGTGAATGTTTCTTATGCTGTTACAGCCATAAAACCCCACCATCCCGATAACGTACATTTTCCCCGAAGGAAGTTCAATGGGTGGATAGAAATCGTGACTCGCCGTATTTCCAACGCCCTCTATGCTGAACGTCGTCGACATGATTACCGCTACTGCTCGCTTAGTCAGTGTTCGTGTTATTTATACAGAAATTTTAAGCACAGATGGCCGCAATTCGTTGTACCAAATTGTTGCTCTTGTCCGTAATTATAATAGATTTTACAGTCGCGGAAATACTCGATCACTTCTCGTGGTGGTGGAATATTACCGAAACTATCATAGTACCAAACTCGTCTACTACGTTTTTTGTACGAGACCCAATGAGTGCCACGCCCCCTTTGACTATCTAAATTAATAACCCCGGATTCATTTTTCCATGGCGATATAGGCATATTATCTCGCATAAACACGTCCCTAAAGTATGGTACACACCCTTTTGCGTGCTTACGTAGATCTACATCTGTTAACGGCCGCTTTGGCAATTTTTTGAAGTTTTTTTTTTTTTAAAATGCAACGCCAAACTGCCTCCCGATTTGTAAGGTTTCAAATACAGCGCACCGCCACTTTTATTTCCTATAGCGATCGATTCCATCGTGCGATTATGGCGTGAAGTTTCATCTTGCATTTTACGTGCGTCACGAGATGCATTAACTGCTTTAGCAATGCCTGCCGCGCCGCCGGCTAAAGCTCCCACTGCCGATAAACCGGCGAAAAGGGGTATCAAAAATGGTAAAAACCCACCCTGTTTTGGTATGGGAATAACTCTAGGTACGCTTACATTTTTTCTACCACCTAAACTTTTTATGGCCATATTTGCTGCGGTAACAGCTGACTTTATCATATCCGTGGTATTGCCGCTTTTCCTCATTTTCTTAGCAATCGTCCTGCGCAAGTTCAATAAACTACTCTTCTTCTTCTTTTTCTTCACTCCCATCCCCAACTTTCGTTTTACCTTCATGATGGCGCCCACTGTAAGAGCCGCTGCTCGTTCCCCTAACTTGGCGTTAGAAGCTTTTAACCGTTCCCAAGCTTTCCGCTCTAGAACTCGATCTGCTCGATGTCGACCTTCCAAGTCTTGGTTATCCCTATAGCTAATATCGTGCTCTTTGCACTGAGCGTCTAGTGGGTTATGCCGGGATCACCTCGCTTTAGTCTTTTGTCTAGTTTAGTACCAGGACCGCAGTATTGATATCCGGGAAGATGTAGTTCAACTGGAAGTTTGTTTATGAGAGTATTAACCAAGCCCCTCCCATCCGCACACTTCCGCTTCCGATTCAACATTATTGGCATTATACAATGCGGTGGCATATTTATAGGGAAATCTAGGCACAATGAAAATGCTCAACTGCAGTAACCGTTTATTGAGGAGGTTGATATATATGATACATTAAATAAGTAGGTCTATAGTGTAGTATTTCCATCATGCACACTGTATTGTGAGAATTTACATTATTCTTATAGTTTAGCACATCTTCAATATCGCGATAGATGAAGTCGTCATCGTCCTCTTCCTCCTCGTCACCAAACTCCATTTTACGAAAGTGACGGTAGCTAATCACCTGTTCGATAAAATCTTGATAGAAACAGGACAGAGCGTATGATTCCAGTAAATCAAATCGATAGTTGATTATATCTTTCAAATTAAACAGTTCTTCAATATCGTTCTTTTCCATCGTGCAATATTGAGAGCTGCTGTTGCCACATTGTATTCTTACACTCTTCAACATTTTTTCAGTAGCCCCCTTCACTGACTCCCACGTATAGTAGATGGTGATATTACTATTAAGTGTATCCGAACTTTGATCTCGTTCGACATCTTTCTCTTCGTTCACATTCGACCAATCTATCCATCTTTCGATCTCTTGTGATCGGAAAAACTTCATTTCGAGATATGTTTGCCATTTTAAAAGTGTCACCCAATCTTCTCTTTTCATGAGCATAACACTGCCGCATGCGATGCGAAGGATTGGTTCAAGGTTAAGGTGTGTACTGTAACCGATTTCGATGTATTTGGAATTATCTAAGCTGTCGAAGAGGGCGTAAGAGGTACAATCTATTAAACGTTCCTCAATCGCTTTGCTATGCATATTTTCAACTTGAGGAGATGATGGTGGCGTTGATCCATATCCATTATCATTACAACACCAACACGAGCACGTGAAATAGTTACTATTACAGCTATTTTTCGTCGCCATGGATGATAGTTTCTTTAGTGTATTCATGAGAGAGCGAAGTACACAACGACGATCACCCCACAACTGAAGTATATTTTTCATGGGGCATTCATTTTATTTCGAAATGAAAAGACAATTATCTATAATATTATGTTTTATTTTACCACAACAACAACAACAACAACAACAACAACAACAACAACACTAATCTATTGTTTACATAAATTTTAAATTGGTAGTTTTTCCCGCTGTTCCGGCGCTTTCGAAGAATACATCGCTAGTCTTCAAGGACTCTTTGAGGACGTTCAGGCGATCGCCTTCCTTGAAGTATTCATAGAATCGTAATGGCAGCACACATTTAAAATTTTCAGTTTCCAATACTATTCGATCACCATATTTTGTATTCATGGTGTCGGCATTCACAATTCTAAACTTCTCCCCCACTTCCAAGTCCTTGACATTTTTGAATACTTTACAGAATGTACTGTTGTTTAGTGCGTTAAGATCCATTTTAACTGTTTCAATAACACCACTGGACTGATTGAAACCATCGCTACCTCTCACCCTTATATTTCCAACTCGTGACCTTGAAATCTACCGCGATACACTGCCGAACGATGATCCGCTTGTAATACTGGAGAAATTATTGCATGATATTGCTCGATTCTACGTCGGAATCGAACTCTATCGACTGCTACAGTTTCCCATGGACCTTTCCTTGCTGCCCAATAAGCAAAATGCCACGTCACCATTACATATGCTCTATTATTGAATTCATTGAATTTAACACTCTTCACCGGATTCTGAAGATTCATCCTTCCACGCTTGCAACTGTTCACTAAACTGCTCCAACTTTGCATCCCTTAGTTTCCGGATAATGCACTCGTCACATATTTTATAACTTAAGTAACTGTCACATATTGCCTCTCCTAACTCATACTTGGCTGCAATAGCTTGGCACTCCTCTGGGCTGTATTCACCGCGTCCATATATCGCCTCGTGCTCTGCATCAAATGCTAATGCAGAAAAATGCTGCTTAAGGCGTCTCACGGCCGTCACAAAATCGACAGATTTGGTCCATGATTCCTCAGCATATGCCATCCACGACATCTTTAATACATGTATACCTTGTAACGACCATATAGAGGCTTATATAAGCGCCAATCCCCACCACCAGTCATATTTAGAATATAGTGTGATTTAGAATCGGCCGTACACTACCATCGACAAGACCCCTCAGGCGCAAACCAAATTACTTTAGCTCGGACGCAAACCTCCGATACTTTATCTCGAGCGCAAACCTCGACCCCCTTGACCTTAGCACAGGCGCAAACCTCGACCCCCTTGACCTTGACGTTAGCACAGGCGCAAACCTCGCTACCGCAGTTCAGAACCACTCAATTCTAGTGACTTTTCTAGGGATTTTCATCTAGTGAGATTTCGTAGCGGCTATATATTACTACTTCAAATCTTTATCTAAACAAGTACTGAAATTTATTAATTCTCTGAATACCTACTCCTTTATTTTCGGATTTATTGCTATTGTCGTGTCCTCTTAAAGAAGATTCAGACACATTTCGTTTTCTAACAATATTTAAGTCCGGTAACGGCCTGCTTAATTGCTTTATTTAAAATCTATCTTCCAGAGAATGCATGGAAAAAGATTTATTTAAATGATTTTTTAATTTGTGTATTTTACGTAACAATAACAATTAATCCGGGAAGTGTAATCTTACACAGAAGTAAAAAAAATTGTTTGACTTATCAAGACTGAAACAAGGAAAACGGCGCAAAGTATAGTAACACCGACAATACCGTACACATTATACAATTGTGCTTATGAGCCAAACTTCTGATGGCTCAAGTTGTACGTATAAAACGCTACTTCGGTTTCGCTCCTCCCACCCCTCTACTCCCCGCGGAAGTCCACACTTATAGGAAAATACGAGCCAGTTTCAGCTTGGCACGCTCGACCGTATTCGAAGTCCACGGATAAACAAATGAATTCTTCTTGGTACCAAATTTATCAAATCATTTACTTTTTTTGTTCTAAGTTTTAAAACACAATTATGTACTCTAGTGAGCACAATTAATAATAGTTAATTATATTTTAAGAATTGATAATTAGCAGGTTCCTTGAGGTGGTGCCATGGCTCCTTGGCTCTTTATAGAGAGCCGCCCCTGCTCTCCGCTACAAAGTGATGATCCTTTCGCAAAAATTTTTTACAAAATCTATTCCAATCATGTGAAATTCAACATAAAATAATCACTCACAAGGATGGACGGACGAATCGGGACAAACGGAACTATGTAATAACGCGTTTTATTTTTTGAAAAATGCGTCCACGCACATGTTCGGACGATGATGGTACATTTTTCATAGGTACGCAAATTAGTATATTGTGTCTGTGTATAGTATATTTTGCTGCGTTTTCAATAAAATTTCCCAAGAATTGACCCCGACGGAAGAAATTCATAAGTTAGTTATTGTGCATCAGCATCAAGGCAATGCAGTTTCCGCGACAAAATTAATGAATACCTAAATGACTTGACCAAAACAAAGGTGCGGCAGAAAAGCCTAGTTTCTATACATTGGCATCAGGTATAGTATAATAATGTTTAGACTACAGCGTTTGACCATCGAAGGTAAGCAATTACGCGATTTGATTATTTTGACAAAACATATAATTTCACAGCATTGAGAAGGCCAAATAATCTGGGCGATTAAAACTATCTAGGCGCGATTGCAACAAATATCAGTTGAAAATTTGGTAGCCAGCTCAATCAATAGCTTTGTTGTGAAAATTTTTAAGTAGGCACGTGCAAGGTACGTCGTATTTGTTCGCAAAAATACTTTTTATCTGTACAGATAAATTGATTATGTGATACGTACAGGGATATAAAGGATACGTACCGAGCGCATAATTATAGATTTCATGTGGAAGACAACGATGAAACTTCAAGCTGTAATCTTATTTCTTGCATCAACCGTATACGCAGCAAGGGTAAGTGATGCTTTTTTATAACGAAAAATTACCATTAAAAATGTTCTGACCGCGGCCTGATGTCGTATTCATTCAAACTGTTTTTGAAATCTGGCAAGATGATGATACTATAACATTACTCCTTATACATATACAATTGGTTCCGCTTCAGGACATTTTCAATCGCACCTGTGGACGCATAAGTCCTGTGGTATGCCTCAATTACCAAAACCGTCGACTTAGGCGCGTACCCTAGGGCGCACCTACCTATATATGTATACGAATACCTACTAAAAGTATTCAGAATGTATCGTAGAATTTCATATATCACAATACATATACAGTCTTCTACTTGAGACGCCGTGTATAAAACTTTTAATGCAAAAAAACGCGCAAATGACATTACTTGCCACTTGCCGTTTGTCTTTTCCGGAACATAAAAACCAAAATTGTAATTGAATTTGTTTCTTTTTTGTGAAAGCGCAGTAAAAAATGATGTCGTTTGAATTGTTTTATATTCAGAGTTTTATTTTATTTGCACTGATGTTTTCAGTGATCATTATGAAACATTTTAGGGAAGCGATATAAAAGATTCCGCTGATGAGATATGCATGAGCAAACTTAACATCAGTGAGAAAACATTCTATTCATGGTTCACTGAAGAATACTTCGTTAAAAATCTCAACGATCCAGTAATTAGGACCTACATGGTTTGCTGGATGTTCGAGAAAGGGATGACAGATAAAGATGGCAAAGTTAACGACTTAAAGCTCGTTGATTGGGTTCGAGATGAAGTATTCGCATTCTATAAAGTACCGCAACCCAGCCGCGAAGACAAGGAGAAGACGGCAAAAAAAATTGTACCAGAGTGTATCGAGAAAGTTGGCGTAAGGGAAAAAACAAATGGAAAAGAAGTTGATCTTGGAGATTGCTTGGTTCGAAAAACTAAAGCAAGTTTATAGACCGTGCCTAGCCGACAAGGACCACCGTTTAAAAGACCGAATTAGTTCATATTACACTTGTTTGTAGGTATATATACTATGCGATCAAAAATGAGTTGCTGTCGAGTCGCCTTTGAAATTTTTGTTTACATGGAAAATCGTATTTAACTTGAACTTCCAAAGGCGACTCGACAGCAACTCATTTATGATCGCCCGTTACGCAATGATATTACATATTAACTTTGTTAATACCAAAGACTTGTAGGAGGATAGACTTTGTTAATATCTAACCATATTTTATGCCCTTAAATTAATACTATATGTAGTACAATGTACCATATAATATGTATGAATTACCTACGTTTAATAAATACACTTGATGCATATAGCGCCACACGGCTTCCTATAATTACCAGGCTAAATTGTATGAAATTTGACAACACTGTTTCGTTGGCCTATGATTTTATGTCAGTGTCAGTGCAAATTTATGTAAAATGAGCTAGTCTAATATAGTCTTAAATCATTTTTTTCTATACCCATGCTGTGCATGTATGCTTGTTTAGTTTATAGTGCCGAGAGAGTATGCCCACAAGTGGTCGCAAGTTTATTCTTGATATCTGTGTCCAAGATCGGTGCTCTTCTGAAGGCCTCTCTTGCATGACGACAATCTAACAAGTTCCATCTAGCCTTGCAACTTGGCTTTGGTATCTTATACCGGGTGATTCATTAGAAGTGAGGACAATTTGAATTTCCCGCAAATCAAAAAAATTATGAAGTTGGTACTAACTGATGATCTTTTATTTAATTGCAGTGGTGTATCATGAATCGTGATGCTTTCAGTAAATAGTTTAGTTATTTATAATCTACAAATACTGCTTCTGTTTTACCACAAATTATAAACTAACACTAGACACAGTCGCGTTTCTTACATATTTTAGTGCATCAACTCTAAAAATTGTTCAAAATGGAAAAAGTAATAAACCGCAAATGGCACACAACAATTAACGGCGACACTGGTTTCTTAATGACAGTCATGACAGAAAAAAATTACTAACGAAATTCAAACCGTCAATCTAATAATGCAAAAAATACTAAAACCTTACGCGCGAAATTCAAGCGATCATCACTTCTAATGAATCACCCGGTATTAGCTATACTCTGTAAGTGGTGTTGAAGATTCGTGGATGTGAACTGTGAAGTATTTGTCTACTGATAGAGTAAATTAAACTTGGAAATTATAATTTATGTTATTTATGTCACACTATTGTTTTATTATTTTATTAAAGATTACTGCAGGGTCAATCCATTTCAAATCACCCAGGCGCAGAGTTGCTGAACATTTTTTATTTTCCTGGTTATCAAGTCATGGGTTCCCTATAGGTAGGCAATCACAAACCACTATTTGAAGAAATTATATAAGCCATTTTTTCTGGCAGCCATTTTTAAAATGGCAGTTTGGCAAATTTGATGGAAAAACGGGATTTGCGGAAAGTTTAATTGCCAATTTATTTTTTAAGATACATATCAAAATAATTCAAAAACGTGTAGGTTCAGCATGAAATGATCTCAAACTTATATTATTTTAATTTCCTTATCATGCAAGAAAGTCAGTCAGAACTGTTAAAAAAATTAGTGAATCGTTATACTTTAAGACCGTACAATCTTAGGAAGAAGAAGAGACTCACAAGAGACAAACATTACCACGTCTCCGTTTACCCAGAATACCGTACACTATTCTCAATAACTCATTAATCTTTACATCGCCGTACCGACATCCTTCATCCAACTATCATCTGACACCAGAATTTAATTTAATAAGCAAAGTGCTTAGGTACAAGTTCAGTTTTGCACTATGAACAGTTTAACTTATTTCTTCAGGGAATTGGTGGTAGATCAGAACGGGATCTATATTTGCAACGACTGGACCAATATCCCCTGTGATCTTCACCATACAGCTTATAGTGCAGCGGAGAGCCGGCGCTAACTTGCTTATTTGAGGTAGTTTTTTTTCGGAGTAGAAAGAATTGGGACCCACACCATTTTGTTCAGAAATGTTTGAACCTTCAGAATCTCGCTTTACGACATTTTCCCGTGGTCCTGACAAAAGTTATAGGTCGCTAAAGTTGAACTTTACTCATTTTCGCGCGCGCGACTAGACCACCGAAAGTATTTATTTTCTCAGCAACTAAGCGATATACATCAATAATTCCTTTTGTAAAATGAAAGTACATTTATAGCAGAATCTAAAGCATTCAATGTACCTACCTACCTTGTTATGCACAGTTTTTAGAAAAATGACCGTCAACTTCCAAAATTCCTGTAGCAGATGAAAAGTCCGCACTTTGAACTCTCATAACGCATCGCTCCTTGTTGCGCGAACGCTGCTGCCTATTCTTCCCTCTACGTCACACTCGCGACTCTCGACTCGGCGAGGTCGGTAGGTTTTTACTTAAATGACCGTAACTTTTTTATTATGAAAAATTCACGGTAATGTTATAGAAAATAAAATAATCACAATGGTTTGGAGCATCGAATGAGCTATAAATATTGGAAATCGATATCGTGAAATAAAAAGTTATGAGAGTTCAAAGTGCGCACTTTTCATCTGCTACACGAATTTTGGAAATTGACGGTCATTTTTCTAAAAACTGTGCATAACAAGGTAGGTAAATTGAATGCTTTAGATTCTGCTATAAATGTACTTTCATTTTACAAAAGGAATTATTGATGGATATCGCTTAGTTGCTGAGAAAATAAATACTTTCGGTGGTCTAGTCGCGCGCGCGAAAATGAGTAAATTTCAACTTTAGCGGCCTATAACTTTTGCCAGGACCACGGGAAAATGTCGTAAAGCGAGATTCTGAAGGTTCAAACATTTCTGAACAAAATGGTGTGGGTCCCAATTCTTTCTACTCCGAAAAAATTTTTTGAACGATTTCGCGGCTCTCTCCGTTGCACTATACGCGAGGGCCTAGCGGGCGAGTTCTTATAGCCAACACGCGTTTGTACAATTGCGCTGTATCTCTTATTATGGTTACTCTTTGCCCAGACGTAAAAATATCAGGACATGATGTACACAGATCATGTCTTTGAAATGCACAGATTGCTAATTTAAATTTGAGGAAAAGTTTTGGACAATTGACGAGACAAGAGAATGAAACGCCATCTCTGGCTGCACAAATGCACTATTGACAAAAGGCGGGAAATTAAAAAAATTGAAATGAATAAAGGGGAAGTGAGGTGCGTTAGAGGGACAAAATAAAAAACAACAAAAAAAATGCAAGCAAAAACTAAAAACCGCCTGGTTTGTGGACAATCTTCTTACAGCCGGTTGCAGGAAAGCGAGTTCAAAATCCTAGAACCCAGATTATTTGTCAAATCTGAGTTTTAACAAGAATTTTGACATTTGATTGGCTGCCTATTGCAATATAAAGCCAATCAAATGTGTTAATACCAGATTAAACAATAATCCTGGATTACTTTTTTTTGTGCAACTGACCGTTAGTCTTTTTCTTCTTTCATTAATGCAAAAAGGTAATTATAAATGGAGTGTAGGTTATTTGTATCAGTCCGGTAATTGACTGTGTTGGTCGATTGTTTTATGTGGTACATTTCGAGAAACTGCAGTTTGCCTCTGTGTCGTTCTTGGTCTAATATCGTTGGATTATTGAAATCAAAATTGTGGCCTTCAGTTGAATGGTGTTTACAAAGAGCTGTAGAATCTTTTTTCAGTCTCGTATCCTCTTGATGTTGTTTGATCCTATTCTATAGGTACTGGGATGTCTGCCCTATGTAGTGATTGTTGCAGCCTGTACAGTCGATTCGCTAGATTAAATATGATTTCAAACGATCCGGTACTTTGTCCTTCTGCTTAGTAAAACCCTGGCTTGTCGAATTGGTGTAAACAGGGACGATGCGAAGGTTTGTCTCTTCTTAGTTCACGTGATAATTTGTCGGTGAGGGCCGTCGATGTGAAATAACTTCATGTATTTTATCGGTTGGATGAAACATTGGTATGATGAAAGTTGGTGTGATTTGAATTGAACACTAGCGAGGTGACCAAACTTTTTTGGATAACCATTATTGACGAAGGCATCCCGGAGAGAAGCCAAATTTTTTCCCGAGGAATTCCGGTTCTGATATTGCTTGTATTCTTCTTTTTAGGCCCAGAATAACATTTTTCTTTTGGTGGATTGGGTGAATTGGAGTAGAAATTGATGTACCTCCTGATGCTGTTGGTTTTTTATATAGCAATCTAACTTAATGTTGTTGTCTGTATCCTTATTACGAGGGTGTCGAGAAAGGGCATACTCCTTCTCCTTTTTCACTTCGATGGTGAACTGTAGGTTATCGTTGAAACTACTCCAAACTTGTTCAGTCTGTAGGGTCACCTACGACAAGGCGGGTACGAAGTTCGCCGGGACAGCTAGTATACAATAAACTGCAGCCATTATTGTTTACAGCGCAGTTTTTAACCATTCCTGAAAGTAGTCAGAATGTTATTTTGTGCATTTTTTTTTTTAAATTAATTGTGATGTACCCAGGCCAGTCTGAATAACCGAATAATAGGACCATTTACTACGTTGTGTTTTTAAGAGTCGCTACAAGATATGTGTTGCCTGTCGGAGTGAGGATCAAGTAAGGAATACAAATAAAACAAGTACATGCTTTAAAAACGGAGATTTAATCCAAATAATTCTCATTGCAAGATTAAATTTAGAAAATGGTAGTTCACCGAGTACAAATATAAAAATAGGCTGGGAAAAAAAGAACTGACCAAGAAAAAACCCAGCCAACAAATTAATATTGAACTTTATAGCAAAATTAGTTATCTGTAATGGCATGAATGCATGTTGTCAAGTACAGCAATACAATGTCGAATCCCAGGCTCCACTGGAATTCCTAAAGAATAAATATTACACACACATAACAAAAAAACAATCATTAAAACATTACAATAAATTCATATAATAGGTTTGGATATTGGATGGCCAGTCCAAATCCCACACCGAGTAGTCTTTAGTTGCTCTGGTCATGACATGTCAACATTGTATGAAATCGCTAGGAGTTGGCCTCTCAGAAGAGCCTTTCACATAGGAAGGATACCCCAAATTGTTAACAAAACAAAAGGTCACAACGAGAACACGCCACACGCTTTTAGCGAATCCCTGCGCAAGTGAGGCCGGGCCTAGCCAGCGCCCTCATGTACGACTAAGCGGGACCCCAACTCATTCATTCACACATCTCTAGGGCCAGTCCAACCCACTAGTCTTAAAATGCCGGGTTATAAATTACCGAA